TTAATACATATAATTAAGCAAACCATTATTACAATTACTATCAGCAAGTTGATAAGTGAATATTTACTCAATTTAAGCAGTTATACTTGATGCTTAAGAGGCTTGATGAAAGTTCGAATGAAATAAAGACCAGGTTAGAGTGATTGAAAAGGCAACATGATAAATAAAAGAATGAACTCTCTACACAAGTGATGGATATAAGTGTTTTTTTTTTTAATATCTTTGCAACAAATTCACTATTGTAAATTTAGATTCTAGCAATATATAATGTATTGAGTTGTGCTGAAAGATAAAAAAATATATATATTATAGAATGTGTTTATTTGCATAGTTAAGTGGCTCTTCTCGAAATATATATATTCTTGCTAAACTAATTTGAAGGATGCTTTTTGACAATATCTTGAAGAGAAGTTTTCCAAATTTATATATAATCTAAGTTTCAACCAATATACTAATAAATTTTATGGAGAATAGTCCAGCCCCATATATATCGATAGCTATTATTTTTTTATTTATTTTTTTTAATATTTATGTTCTTTTGCTTTTGATTTTTTATTATTTTTGGCAATAGCTGATGTAAAAAATGAAGAACTTTTGAGATGTGTTAGTTCAAAATGTAAGAGTAGCAGTATAGCATATATTTGAATATAAATGATTAGTACTATTAAAAAAAAATACTGCACTAGCTGATATTATAAGTTAGAAACAAAGCAAATAAGTTCATGATTGTTTTCGTATACTATTTGAAATAAACTATAACAGTGTTTTTTAGATATCTATAATTGTGAGATTGGCCTTCTCTAAAGTTGCTGTATCTGAACTCTTCAATAAGCACTATGCTTTTATACTTGCAGTCTGTAATCTTTTACTAAATCTCCAGTCTAAAAGTATCATGTATACTAAAAAACATCTTATACATCATATCGAAAATATCTTGTAAGTATTATTATTATTAATTAGTATTACTATTAATTATTATTAATTATTATTTTTATTATTGTTAATATAGAATAATTTTGGTAATAGTGGTCTATCATATAATTCAGCTGAAGCTATACTAAAAAATAAAAATATATATTGTGGTGGTAGTTCTCGACAAGCATCACCTCAGTATAAAACTGAACCTGAAGCTGTACCTTCAGCATTTCAACAAGCTGATTTATTTTATCTCAACATCTTTTTCAAGAGAATGCTAATGAATTATTTGGTTGCAATTAGTTTTTTGTTTTAAATATATTTTTTTTTAAATTAGTTGTATTTGATAGTAATTTATTATGTATTATATTCATAATCTGTAATATTTGTATTATATATAATACCGTATATTGCTAAAAATAAGCCACTTCCGATAATAAGCTACCTTCCTTTTTCAGAAAAAAAATGTAAAAATATCTTATATCCAAAAATAAGCTACTATATGATCATCAGTAGTTACTCTATAGTAAAGTCAAAATTTTACTAAGTAAATCGATATAGCTTATTAAGAAAGTTGTTTAGAAGATCAAAATACATATATTTTGAAAGTTTCATCCAAATTGGATAACCTTTTATTAATATGTTTTTGCATGTTACATTTGACAAATTTTTTAAAATTTCTTTAATGTTTTTTTAAAATTCATATATATTGAACGTAAAAATCAAAAGTCAATTAATAAAAAGTTATCTGATTTATATGAAACTTTTAGAATATATGTATTTTGATCTCCTGGACAACTTTTACTTAATAAGCTTGGTCGATTTACTTAATAAAATTTTGCAATTAGCAAAAAACACTTTTATCCAACTACCTGCAAAATTTTTATGTAACTTTTTGGTCAAAATATAGCTTATTTTTGGATATATATGATACAAAAATTTATTTATACTTAATATGATTATATATTGCTTTATAATAAATATATCTGTATATAATATTTTGTACTAGTATTTTTAATACTATAGTTTATTAAAAAAACTACTTGTTTTACCTGTTATATATTGATTAATATCTATATCAATTTATATCGATTGCCTTAAAACTGGTTATATATTATTATATACCACAATCGATATAATCTAGCAGGGATAATTTGTATCGATATATATTTAGTAGGTTATCAATCGATATATATCTCTATACAAAATTTCCTGATATATATAATATTAGAGTTTGCTATCACAGATCTTTTAATTGGTGATTTGCCAGTCATCTGGTGCATAATCATAGTATAACATGACACTGATCACTATGTAAATTACATATACCCCGAATGTGGTATTCGCCCAAGGAAAACTTTTTTCATACTAAGTTAATCACTCTTTTGTATTAAGTCAAAATTGTAGAGCTTATCGAGATGCATCTAACAGTAGTTAGATTATCTATATCAGCCTAGCCAATAGTGAGATATCATTGAAAAATGATTGGCCGACTATATAAAATTCTATGTATACAAACTATTGTTTACATAGAAATTTTACATAGTTGGCCAATCATTTTTTGATGATATATCACTATCAGCTAGGCTGATTTGGATGATCTAACCACTGTTAGATGCGTTTCGACGAGCTCTACAATTTTGATTTAATACAGAAGAGCAATTAACTTAGTATAAAAAAGTTTTCCTTAGGTGAACGCTACATTCAGAGTATATGTGATTTACATAGTGATCTGTGTCATATTACACTATGATTATACACCAGGTGACTAGCAAATCACCAATTAAGATGTATAAAGAGCTGAATAATTTTAAAATTAAGTATAAGTCTGTTTAGACCATTTATTATAGGTTGTAGGTTTATTATAGTAGATTTAAATTTCTCAAATAATATATATTAATATATTTTAATATTTAAATTATCTAAAAGATAATATTTAGGCATATAGTATTTACTATATCATAATTACATTATATTTCTAAGTTTGTTTGTTTAATAAGTATTAAAATCCTTTATAAATAATTTTTGAATAGTCTAAATTTATATGTTATATATAGTATCTTAAATTGGTTAAACTATAATCAGTTAACTGCCTGAACCAAATAAGTTTTGAGTAACTAGTTGAAAAAATTCTTAATCAGTTGACCTGGTACAATCGGCTAATGGGATTTGGAAATAACAAAATGATATAATAAGGAGAGTAAATATTCTAAAAAGTTCTAAAAATAAATGAACGAACAAAAATTAAAGTAAAGCTCTAAGAATTTCTGAAGATAATAGAGTATTAATCTTAACCAGTTGGCAACCGATTGAATGAAAATTATTCAGTTCAGTTAACTAATTAAGAAAAATTTTTCCAGTTCAAATTACTAGTTATACATAATTATACTAATAATACTAGTCTTGTATGCTGTACAGCTACTCTAATTAAAAACTAATATAGTACTTATATATACCTATTTAGATCAAAAATGATTCAGTTCAGTTAACTAATTAAGAAAAATTTTTCCAGTTCAAATCACTAGTTATATATAATTATACTAATAATACTAGTCTTGTGTGCTATGCAGCTACTCTAATTAAAAACTAATGTAGTACTTATGTATATCCATTTAGATCAAAAATGATTTTAGCTTATTCAAAACTAATTATAATATAAATTATAATTAAACAAAGCCAAAATATTTTGGCTATATATAAAATAATACGGTATGTACAATATCTAGAAAAAACTAAACTTTGGTCTTGGCTTTTAAATCTAAAACCTTAAAAAATCTGAATAATTTAGTCTAGTATATTATAAATTTAAGTGTTCAGAATTTGCAAAAATTTGTTTCCTTAATATACTTGCATAAATTATTTATTTAGTTCAATATAAACCTTTTATTTTAACTTTATATATCTTCAATTTAATTTTAATCTAACAAATCACTTGCAGATTCAAACAAATTTTTTTTTTTAAAGTATTAGCAGCCTTGCCAATATCTTTATTAAATCAAAGCTAATATACAAGTATATTTTAAACTATCTAAGCTACAGATTTGACATCATTTGGCTTCTTCTAGAGGAACCCAAATATGGTCTGCCTTATTAGTTAAGTCTATTGTCTGTACTGGAGAGCTATACCAAGCTAGCCAGAGAAACTATTAATAGATGATTTCAAAATAAAAGAATTTTTAACTAAATTAAATTGGCAATTTACCTTTTCTTCTAAACTATTCTTCTTTTTAAAATAGTATTCTAAATCTAATTTTCTAAAATTAAACAATCTTATTCTATCTTTCAACAAGGGTTATTGCCAGAATTTTTTCATTTATATTTATGCTTTCTTCTTCTTCTAATTTGACATATCTTTACCGATCAAGGACTTTAATCTGTTCTTTCCTATAAGAAACCCAGCTCTCAGGAGTTTTCTCATATCTTTTTTTTTAACTTTTCTTTCTATTTTATAGCTTTATGTTCTTCTACTTCTTGAAAGCTTCTTCTATAGGTTTTACTTGGGTGTATTCTTCTATAAGCCTTTTTTTCTTCAAAATATCTTGGGCCTTCCTTTGGTTTTTCAGTTACTAAATCTTGTATAGTCTGTTCGGAGTCTATTTTTTTTATATCCTGGGTATGAAGATTTTTCTTTTTTCTTTCTATTATTATTTTTTTTTTTTCTCTTTCTAAACTTTGGTTTCTTTCCCAAAAACTTTTCTTGTATTTCAGTAAAGATTTTCTGGTTTTTAAAAATTTTTACAAAAATCTTTTCTAATATCTCTAATAATATGTTTTTTTTCTTCTTTTTCTAATTTTTAGCTCTTGTCAATCTACATGCCACTATGTCTTGAGGTGGAGTCCTGTTAATGATCTCTTGGGCCTTTAAACATTGAAACCATTTTACAAACAACTCTTTCTTTTTCTTCTTCCAAGTTCTCCTGTTGGTCTGTGAGTCTTTAATATTTATTTAATATATTACTTTAGTTAGCTATTCAGTTGGAGTTGCAAATTTGACTTTGGTCTTGATTTCTTTTGGATCTTGTTTAAAGTTTCTGTTTCTGTAGTGCCTTCAACATTTCATCTCTTGCTTTTTATTTTACTTCTTTTCTCCTTTTCTCTTCATTTTTAACTTTTTTCTCTCTTCTGGTTTGCTGCAACAAGTTTAAATTCAACAGATACTTTAAAATATATTATCAAAATCCTCAGTACTGATTTATTTTGCTGCTTTTGTTGAGTTTTTCTTTGTTCTTGAAGTCTCTTGCTCCAATCTAATTCTAACTTCAATTTAATCTTGGCAGCTTGTTTTTCCTTTAGACAAGCTTGCATTTTTTTCTTTGCTTCTTTGGCTTTTCTTTTTTTTTTTGTTGGTTTGCTGCAGTGATCTTGATAGATTCTTTAAATTGAAGTACTATAGACTCTAGGGCTATTTTGTTGTACTGTTTTTGTTAACTTTTTCTTTGTTTTTAGAGTCTCTTGCTCTATTCTATTTCTAGTTTTGCCTTTATTTTAGTATCTTGTTTTCTTTGTCTTTTAGTAAACTTCTTACTTTGTTAGCTATTCTTAATTCTAATATTGTACTGTATGCTTCTTTTTGTATAATAAAATTAACTAGGTCTTCTTCTTTTTATATTTCTTGATAAAAGCTATGATAATTTCTTTCTGCAAGTACACATCCTGTATACTCTAATTCTCTTTTATTATATCATAATAGTTCATCATAGAGATCAATTAATTGTACTATAGCTTCTTCTTCTGTGATGAGTTTTTTCTTAGCAGAATTTGCTATTCTTTTATTTACTTAAGAATCTATTTTTTCATCAGTTATTTGTATTAATATTCTGAATAATTTTTATAATCGCTTCTCTTGATATGAGCTTTTTTCCAGAACAATCTGCTATGTTTTGCTTCATATAACTTTTTGTTTTTCTATTGTTGTTATTGGCTATTGCTATTATTATTGTTTGTTGCAATTGTTTACTATTTTTGTTTACTTTTATCATGTGGTTTTGATCATGTCTTCTTTGTTTATTCATTATTATGTGTTGTGATTTTTGTATTACCAAAACAGATCTGTAATTCAGAGTCAAGACAAATTCCTTAAAATTTTGCAAAATGCAAAAAAATATCAACAATTTTTTATAACTTCTTCTATTTCTTAGCTGCTTCAGTTTTTCTTACTCAAGTCTCTTAAGAGACTAAGTGTTTCTTGTGGTTCTCTTTTTCTTTATTTAGAGCTCAAGTTGTATTTCCTAGTGGTCTTTATATATTTCTTGTAGTTTTTGTTAGTTTTGTTTCTTTAGAAATTTGTATTATGATAATTAGCAGAAAGAGTTCGTTAAGATTCAAACAAATTAATGAAATTAAATTAGATGATATGTTAAGAATTTGTATAGACAC